CAAACACACACACACACACACACACACACACACACACACACACACACACACACACACACACACACACACACACACACACACACACACACACACAAAGTTTATTCGGCTGCCAGGCTGCCAGATACTGGATGAACATGTGTGTGTGATGTGTGTTGGCGTTAATGTGCAATGAAGCAAGAGAGTCCCTGTTCTCTGTGCACACATCAGCTCAAGTGTGTGTGTGTGTGTGTGTGTGTGTGTGTGTGTGTGTGTGTGTGTGTGTGTGTGTGTGTGTGTGTGTGTGTGTGTGTGTGTGTAACCAGGGGAATGAAACTGCAATTTAGAGACCCTGGCATTTTGATGAGGTTTGAGCAGAGGTTCAATTTACACATTTTGATACAGCCTGAGACATTCAGTCACGCTGCTTCACTGTGTTCACACCTGCAGTCAAAACACATGTACATTTGTACTCCTGTAGTATTTTGGATCCTGTAGTATTTTAGCATTTTTATTTTAAAAATCCAGAATATTTAATATTGTTTTGTTTATATTTAATATAATTTTTTTTTTTTTTTCTGCTTCTGTAACCAAAGAATTCCCCAATTTGGGATCAATAAAGTATCTATGTATCTATCCATCTATCTACCTATACATCAATCTATCTTATATGTAAAAGGGACCAGCATCAATTAATTAAAGGAATTCTGACTAGTTTAAGAAAATACGACAACATTTCAAATAATATATAACTAAAACAGCGAATCATCATTTTTACTTGTGCATGAAACACCTGCATTACACAATTAAAAAAACACAAACAAAGTTCCTTTAAGACTAAGTGATACATGTTCGTATTATGCATGAGAGAACCAACATGTAGCAGCAGGCTTTGCTTGAGGTGTTTAAACGCTGTGTAAGACTTCAGGTGTGTCTGATTCTCATCAGTGTCAATCTATACTGTGATTGAGCGTGCACTACAGTACGTGCACGCAGTTTGTACCTCAGACTACAGGAGATGTAGCACTGTGGTCTTGGCTTAGTAGCTAATCATTGAGCTTAACCTCCTCTCTGCTGCAGGCCTGCTCTGCATTGACCCAATTCCCAGGACTTAAGATACCAGTGGTCTTCCTATAAGACAACATGCAGCCCCGGATGAAGCCCTTTGATCCTCCATGCACACCCCGTTGACTTAGCATGCTCTGACACAAACACTGGCATGGGAATATACGCTGAGCCAGATACAGTGGGACTAACAGTGGGAGTGATATTTATCTGTCTATTGATGCTCACATTTAGGTTGGACCAGAAGGCTTTGCAGCAGAATATCCATCCATCAACCACATAGGACCATAAGACTATTAAACACCTGAACTTTGAAACAACATCCATAACATTAATCTCGCTGCTACTTAGAAATTATTTATCTAATATATCAAATTCCAATCACTTGTATATAGACTCGTATTGCACTATTTCTCTTTTTGTATTTACTATTTATTTGCACTATTTTTTTCATTTTTATTGTGTTGCACTGTTGGAGGAGCCTGTGACCTAAGATTGTCATCGTCATAACTACACCGTAGCTATGTACACATGACCAATAAAAGCCTTGAACCTCTCAGCACTATTTTTGCCCAGATCACCGGCGAGTCGTGTATCCAAAATCATCATCACTTTACCTGCTATAACTACTTACTGCCAGTGGCGGTTCTAGACCAATTTTACGGGGGGGGGGGCGGGCGGGGGGGGGGCGGGGGCTGGGGCCAGTTACTTTCATGAGAGGGGCACAGGGGGGGTCCCTGGTCAGTGTGACGGGGGGCACTGGCCCCTGTTGCCCCCCCACTAGAACCGCCCCTGCTATAATAAGCACAAACAGAATCCAGTAAAGATGCACTTTCAATAAGAGTTCAGGAAAACATTTCAACCTCCAGCCAGTTGATAACTTAACTGCTCTGAAACAATGCAACCCTGTGTGACGCTGATTCTACACCATGGTTTTTACACAGGACTGGATGCAACATGGCTATGAAATGAGTGTGTGCGTGTGCATTAGTCGTGAGTATTAGCTCGATCTGGGGAACCCTGGGCTGCACCGTCTGGCCTCTCCATAAGACTCTGCTAATACCTCGACCGTGCAATCAGGGAAACACCGCGGAGCCTGCATGTTAACACCAGGACAAAGAAAGAAATGCAGTTTCCGACAGAGCAATCAATGTTTTCAAGTGTGCATTATGCATCTAAACATTTCTTTATTGTTCGATAAAGCGGATCTTTGGAGCTGTGACTGCCTGAGTGTTGCAGAAGCCTGCCTGCAGTGACAGATGGAGACAGTTTGGTACGTTTGGATTGACTCCACTGGTTTCTACAGGCACAGCTTTCTTTATAAGACCACTTGATCCACGTCTGATAACAACGCAGATGGAAAACATCAAGGGAATCCCACTCCATTTGTGACGCTCCCATGATGCAACTGGGATTCATGAAACTGAACATTAACGTTTGTTCCACCACAAAATATATCTCATGATTTGGCAAATCAGATTGAATAGATGAAGGGTGCTCGTAGGGTTTTATACTTATTAAAGAACGGCTGATATTTGACCATAATGTCAAATAAAACATGGTCACTCAGAGGTCATGGTGTGCATAATGTACAAGAACAGCAATCAGGACTTCTATTAGTTATGCACCACACCAAGACAATCCTGCCTAATGCCATGCATAATAAAGACTCTATAGACCTTTCAAGTAAGCTGATGCCGTCAGAACAACTCAAACACTCCAGCATTGATCTGTTCCAGTATTAAAGCAGACATTATGGACTATATAGTTATATATAGCTCAGAGGTTGCTCTTGACTAGACGTGTGCTGCCAAAGCAACAGACACGCCTAAACACATTGGGGAGACAACAGGTAACTACAAACTCAAAAAAACATGATCAAGCTCAGTTTGAGAATGCATCTTCTGTTTCATGCTTTAAATTGTAAAATCAAGCCTGAAATTAAAGGGGTCTGCATCCTATTAAGAATGAGTTGTGACATGCTCCCAATAAAATGCCATATTGTGAAGAAAAAGATTACTTTTACTAGACCTTATATATCATCAAATGCTGTTACATAATTATAATTTGTTTCCATTTTCTGTCATCTGATATTTTCCTCATTTGCTTTTTGAGACTGAATTGTTCTTCTTTTCCTTTGATGTTGGTGTTTTATAATTGTGTCTTTGGTTATTATACAGCAGGTTTTAATTGTTGTTCTCAGAGAGTGCTATAGAATAAACCAAATTCTTACTTTACATAATAGAAAATAAAGACAATGGCTTAACAGTTGCTGAAAGTATGTTGGATGGATTTTCACTCAAGGGAAAACTTCTTTTTTACTGCAACACCCTCTCATATGCATGAAGGGTTAATTCATTAAGTTTGTAGACATTTTAAAAACGTAATAATTGTCTCAGAAACTACACCCATACCATACTGTTTTTGTAATTCTCTGAAGCCTCAAAAACTCTTTGAATCCAGTTTCTCACATCCCCAGCTCTTTGTGGGCCTTATCAGGTAAATCACAGAATTTGGGGNGGGGGGGGGTCTGGTTTTGCATTTACCTCCTGTCTTGAGCAAACCTGAGTGACGTCCATAACAGAGTCCAACTATCTCCCGCAGCTTTGCGTGTGGTTTAAGGAGCCAGAGCTTGGAAATAAAACATAAATAAATAAACACAACACTAGAATAATCTTCACCCACTCATCTCCAACATCATCAGGATGTTTGCCCTAGTATTGAGTCATTTCTGTGTTAGGCCCCAGCAGCAGAAGTGTTCTTATGCAACCAAACAGTAGCCATTCAAGACAGACAAACACATCGACAGGCTGGCAGGACACTGACGTT